AAATTAAGCACTGTTTCAATTGAATTATCATATACTAAAATTTAGTAGCTGGTTCTTTCCAAGATAGCATGCCATTTTGTGTGGAGAACTTTAATTTTACTTAATTTTGTTAAGGCTTCGACATCACGACATGTTAATTTCAATTTACCTAAAGTTTTTCCATTCTACTTCCTATACCTTTTTTCTCGTATCACAGTAATTAATCTCCTTTCTTATACAGGATCGGCCGGCCACGGGTTTCAATGGCCAGAAGACGTTCGTAAGTAAAACCATTGCTGTTTGTTAGAAGCTTTTGTGTCACAAAGTATTCAATTTTCTTGTTCCAGTAGCATCCGAGGTAACATCTCTGCTGCAAATGTTTTGTATATCAAAATTCAAGTAACATGAGAGGTTTTATAACAAGTAAAAGTAAGGGTGAAGGGAGGAGAGGCGAACCATTAGAAAGCTGCGTTTGAAGGCATTTGTTTATAACCTGGGAATTTAGCTTAAAAGTAGAGAAGAGTAAAATATAATAGTTCAAATGGAAGATTAATGACACATTTCATTCGATATGAGACCAACAATTTGGAATGGAAGGGGGACGGGTTCTACTAACTAGTAACTGTTTCAACTTCGGGAAAGTTGCGGTCATTAAGGGGGGCTAAAATCCACCGTCCCGCGCAATTTTAAGTTGAAATTCGCCGTTCAGGTCATTTAAGCAAAATTTAACAATTTTTCTTCAAATTTCCTTGTTTCTTAAACCCATATGACTCCCACCAGAAATGATGCTTCATTTTATGAAAAAGAGACTCGGGATCAAAAATCGATTTATGTAAAAGGCTCGTAAGATGAAAGATGAAACAAAATGCGACATGTATATAGGGCTCAGTGAATTTTACAAAAGTTAATATTTCTAGAATAAAATATTTAGTATTCCGATCATTGCGGCACAGCCACAGGTCTTTAGTATAGACCACATCCGGAACCACGCAGCAAGTAGATACCGAATGCAGGCTCCGCGTGCTAGTCTAAAAATGGGGAAGGGGGCTGAAAAGGGCGTGCCCGATTATTTTTATTTTTAAGCTGCCCGATTCAGAAAAGCCTTCGATTACTATCAAAGTTGATATAATTGCTTGAGGATAATTTAACACCAAGCTAACCAAGTTAGAAAATGCAACATATCATTAAACAATATAAAATCAACAATGAGCAAGAAAGGGTTCCAAGTCAAGAAGAACTGCTATTCCTTAGGATCCAGTGGATTAGACTTTCTAAAATTGGATTAGAGTAAACTTCCAAAAACGTTCTTACCTATTTATACAAAAAGTAGGGGGAGCTTTACTTTAGCCCCTGCTAGTCAAATGGTTGCGCGGTACATGACCTGAAGTGATCCGGATCTTCTCATAGCAAACCCTTCGTTCGGGATATTCCTGCACCGGACCTATGATCACTGATATTCCTATGCCGGGTTTATCGCGAGGGATATTTCTGTGCTGGGCCTATATCATCGACACGGACGCTGATCCGTACCCTAACCCTAAACTCAAGTAGGGTTTCGTATCAGTGACCACATGCTGAGGGATACGTTTGTTTTAGGGATATATTTCCAGGAGTGGCGGCATGGGGGGGCAAGGGGGGGCTTTAGCCCCCCCTAAATTTTTGTTAGCCCCCCCGTCGGCAGGCAATCAATTTTTGCTTTCTCTATACCGTCGGCACTTGATGGATGTCACCCGGTTTACATGTTGTTTGAATGACATAAATAATCGAGGAGAAAACTGCACTGGCTGGTTTATGGTTTTCTTAATGGCTTTTCTTCGGCAGTTTTACTATCATAGTGTCATTATATCCTGTCGCTTCCGTGAAAGCTGTGACTTAATTTCATGGTGCTCCTTCGCATGACCCACAATACCATCGTGCTCCTCTCGGTTATAAATAAAGTCTTTAATGAATATTCTTCTTAAGGGATTCTCTTTTCGTTTCAAGACATTATTATTGCCAATGAAAACATTTCGATCATGAGCACATTTTGCGTAATAAATTTTTCAAAAAGCACTTCTTGTCCTATTTCATCAACTATTTTTCAATAGCATTGTTCACCGCATAGCTTGCGACAAACAAATGGTTTAGAGAAAACCATCGATTAATTTCTTCCAACATAGATAGGAAGAAATATTCAACAATAGGCAATATTTGCGCATTAAGTTTCTTACAAGGCACAAATTGCCGAGAAAATCTCGTGGACTCCGACACAGGTTGGAAAGTGGGGACGGGGAGGGGGCAAGGGAGAATTTTGCACCCACAACAAACGATTTTGGAAAAATGCTCTATTTTTAAAATTGTTAAAATTTTTAAAATTAAAATTGTGCCTCGTGTCCATTTCTCCTAAAGTTTCTCAGTAGAAGCATCAACTGCAATTCACTATGCTAAGGCATGCTAAGATGGAGAGAGGGATCTAAATTTAAAAGTAACTGACAACCTGGTATTTTTCGAGACCACGGCGAAATTGTTGATTTTATCTGCTGTAAAAAGTTTTGCAAAAAGACAATAATTTTCAATAGGATTAGGAGGATTGCTTTAGTGAAATCTGCCTAAAAGAGTGCATTTTCCAGGGAACTAGAAGCATCACAATTCGAAAATTTCCTGCCCCTTCGGCGGCAACCATGGTGCCGCCTCAGGTAGTAACTATATATTTTGCCCGTCCCGATATAGAAATTTGACAAGACTATTAGAAAAGTCAGTCATTATCATACAGAGTTAGATTGACAAAATGTATTGCAGAGGTTTGTGACACCAGCTAAAAAGTTTCAGGCAATAATTTTTTAATCAGGTAAATTTGCATTACACAGCCCCCCCCCCCCCAACGAGGCTTGCCTCGCGACGGCCCTGCCTACTAAATGGGGCAAATCGAATTTTTTTTCTGTCGGCAATTTGACACATCCAGCGTCGGCAGTTACGGAGAATATAAACTTCGGCACCTCGAAGGTTTGTCTCTAGCGCCACCCCTGTATATTTCTCAAATTTGTTTTTCATTTTGCTTGAATATTGCTGGGCCTATAATCAGGGGTATTCTTGTGCGAAGCTTTTAACTGAAGGCATTGTTGAGCAGGACCGTAAAAAGATCAGCGACATTCCTTCGAATTTTTTCTGTTCCGGACATATAATCAGGGATAATTCTGTGCCGGACATATAATCAGCGATATTTCTGTTCCGGACCTATAATCACGGGCCTCAAAGTGTGAGAGGTAATTTTTTGAGCGAGATTTTTTTAGAAGGCAAATTACTTTCAATGGTGTTGTACCATGCTGATGCCATTTAAATTCTTCTTTCAGCAACGACATTGAAGAAACAGGTAATTCTGAAGAATGCCTTGGACCATCTAAAAAAACCCCTCAATATTTCTATTAAGTACCCCAAATACTTTAACACCCCTTCTGTTCAGCTTAAACTTTATACCAAGAACAAACAAGAAACTTTGCCAGAGACATGCTCCCGAGATGATTTTTTTCAAATTTGTAAAATGTATTTAACTTAATAGTTCAGTATTGATCCCAGTTTATTTAGTTTGTAGTATTTCGTCGGCCTTACAATAGACTTGGATATTATTGCTGTGATTTTAATGTCCAGTTGGGGAAAATAGTTATTTCTTAGTAAGCGTAATCTTTTATCATTGATTGAAAAATATTTTTAATTTAATCCCGTTTGAGCAGCTATTAGATGTGAGTTTGATGTAGGAATTGATTCAAATTTCACTCCAATAAATCAGGAACTGTAGGAGTATTTTTGGCGAATAATTTTAAATTTTTGTAGTGTAGATAAGCCGATAACATATCTCTTTTGCAAAGAGAAAAATTAGTACAGGCGTGGTTGCATCTTTGATTATAAAACCTTTTAGTTTTCTGTAACAATGGATAAAGTCCATTTGTAAACAATGCGATCCTTATCCTTTTCTGATCATTAAAACTCAAACCCCTTGGTCGAGGTCATGATATCTTCGTGGACGGTAGCAGCAATTCTCAGTTAAAGAGGTAACGATTTGACGAATTTCGATAAGCAAATATTGCTAGCAGAGTATCTTTTATATCATGAAAAAATAATTTTGAGACGCATATTTTGTGATAACAAGGAAATACGATTTTCCAAATTTTAGGTTTGAAAAGTTACAAGTTCTTCAAATCCCATTGCTTAAAACGTCATGGCTTTCTAGGCGTCCATCTTTTGAAACCACAACCTGACTAATTTGCACCATCATTGGCCCAATACAAATTTCTCAGATTTTTCCCACGTTTTTTGCCTTGAGCAATAATTCCAAATGCCCCTTGTATGTTTTGAGCAATTAGCTTGTAAATGGGCTGAACATAATAAAAATATTAAAAGCAACTCATCAGCCAGAAACCCAAGGGTGTACCACCCCCCGGTAGGTACGCCCCTGATTGTCATACTGACTTCATACTAACGAAGGAAAGAAATAAGAAAACATCAATGTGAAAAAATTCTAAGGGGAGAGTGTGTGGCACTTTTCCTATGTAACAACCAGGATAGGTGCAAAAAATTTTTCCAAACACATTCCTAAAATGCAGACGCCCAGACCCAAAAATCACTTAGATTAAAATTCTTAAAAAAATGTGTTGAAAATTTTGTACTCAGTATATAGAGCTGAAAAAAAGTAAAGCTTGATTTTGTAGCTTATGATACATCATAGAAGACCTATTCTTAACTAAGTGTTTATTGTCACTGCTATTAACAGATTCTGATTTGGCTTAGACCATTCCAAGGCTTTTCATGCAAAATCACTTTTGGTTAAGCAGAACATTCAATCTAATCATTATATCAGTGCTTGCCAGTCATTTTGCATAAATTTATAAGAATATAATTTTCAACCAAAAATAGAGTTTTAAGAATACAAATTATTTATTCACACTTTTTACTTGTGTTTCACACAACCATTCTACTTGTTCTAAAAATATTAGCTTGATTTGACTTCGCAAAAAGAGTTTTGTATATTATTTCGAAGAAAAGTGAATTTACGTTCGTAATTGATATGAGTAATCATCGAGAGGAGGGTATCAGTAATGCTTGCAGTAATTCCCCATATATGATACTGTTTTGCCAAAAATACTGGAAGCTTCCATCCATTCCTAAAAATTGTGTATCTGTTATTACCATCCAACAACAAGTCAGCTATAGGAACAGTAAAAGCTTCAGTAACCTGAAACAATGAAAAACACAACATTCTTATGCACCAGGAGAGTGGTAGTTAACAGTGGTTCATATATCATAGTTAACAGTTTAACTTTTATAAAACAAATTCAGTAGACATATGCATTATGGCATAACTTCCTGTTCTTGTTTCCCATTTATATTTCTAGATTCAAAATACCAATGATATTAAATTCAAACGAATTTTTGACTTATATTAACTGATTTTGTCTAGTCATTATTTTTTAAATGTTCTAGATTGACACAATTCTGCTAAAGAAGGTCAGGAAATGTGCTGTTTTAAATGTGCACAATTAAAGCAAATATCACATACCTCATTGTCACTAAATTTCAGCTTAGAAACATCAATGTCACCAACATACCCAAACACTGCAGTTATATTAATTGTAGCCTTCTAAAAAACACAAATTGAAATTATGATCAAAATTCAAACTAGTTCGAATGCTTTTTGGGTAGCTGAAAATAATATAGTTTCTCGTAATATGTCATCAGAAATAAAATCAAACAAATTTTAATAAAAGCAAGGACCTTACCCGGTTTAAAAATGGGCCTAGTGATGAAAGAATTCTAATGGAATTTCTGTCCAAAGCTAACTCCTCCTCAGCTTCCCTTAAGGCAGCAGCTTCAATCGAAAGATCTTGGTCATTCTTCATCCCTCCTGGAAAACTTAAGGCAAACAATTGATCAAAGATACTGTAATCATTCAACCATCAATAGTTTTTAATATCTTCTTCATAACACATAAGTTAAAAATGCATCAGAGGAACCATGTCTGTTTAAAGAAACAATATTTTAAGCAAACTCCATTTCAAGTCTGATTTTTTTAGAAAGCTGGCTGGCTTTGAGGTGGTGTTTCAGTTGTTCTGCTTGTAAGTCATTATTTATGATATGGTTTTAAAATTCACAAACCATCAAACTTTTGACTAGAAAATTATTGAAGCAAGATCAGGTTATCATCAAGAACTAAATCCTACATCTAAAGACTCTACCCTAGGTCTGGTCAAGCAAGTACACTAGTATCCAGGCTCTAAATTTTACCTGATCTTAAAGCATAAGCAGGGGCGGACTGGCTGGTCGGGCTATTTGGGCGATCGCCCGAAGGGCCGGTCGGTTTAAGGGCCGGTTGATAAAAGTGCAACAAAAATAAATTAGCTTAAAAAGTGAATGCAAGGCAAAAAAGTATACCCACGCGTTGATCTGTTTGCCTTGAATTTTCAGAGACTTTGTGGGAAAGAATAAATATACACGCGAGTAATCTAAAACCATTAAAATTATAAATTCATTATTGTCACCGCAGCCCAAAGCCCAAACACACTTCTTCAGGAAACATATTATTGACATCTTGTTATATTTTCTCTTGACGGTATTTCCTTTTTGGCGACATATTATACTGCAACACCCCTGTTTCAATGCGATACATAAGATTTTAACCTGCCTTGATGTCTTTTCACTTAGCTTTTGCTTGAAGCTGGTCATGTTTTTTGCCTAAGCACATGCTATTGCTTAATGTAATAAATTTAAAAGTCCAAAAATTAGAGTTCACTAAGCGATTTGCTCTGTGATGTGAAGCAGGGGCGGATCCAGTGCAAATTTGAAGGAGGGGCAGTTGGTAGTCGGGGCGCTAAAAAATTTGCAAAAATTGGTGACGAGAGTTCGCTGTACACAACAATTCCAGATCCATTTTCGGAATAAACAACATAACTTCTTGAAAGTAATTCTTGAAGCAAATTAACTTATCGGTCTCAGAAACATTTTCACTTGATTCTGGTTCTTCAGAAGGGGCGCATGATTTCCAAAAAGGGGCGCCAGACTTGCTTCAACTTGTCAAGGGAGGGGCAACTGCCCCTAGTTGCCCCCCCTTGAATCCGCCACTGATGTGAAGCAATGAAGAGGACATACGTAGAATGAGGGAAGAGCAAAAAGACTTCAACCAAAGTTGGTGCACAGAAATTTATAGAGGAAAAGCTGTGAGACTTTAAAAGGATTCAGCTACGATACAAAGCTTTTTTATCAAGCAAATTCCACAAACGTCACAAAAAACAGCAGGGTCTTGTTCTTGCTCCTTTCACTAAACTCATACAAGTTATGGTAAGTTCATCAGGCCTATACTATCATAAGTCAAATGATACCCCGCCCAACAGGGGTATGGTGCTACACGATGAAATTTCAACAGGGGGGCCATGTTTTCTTTTTGGGGTCAGAAATTGACGAATTGATATTTTTGGGTTGCTGAAAATCATTGTGGTTTTCCGGAGGATTAGAAAATTATTTGTCATAAGTGGAGTGTGATAGAAGCTTTTCAACTTTATAAATAAATAAAGAACAGGTTACGTAGTAGTTTTTCGCAGCCAAACCTGGAGTCCTTCATGTTGATGTTCTTAGAAAAACACCTGTTAGATGAGTATCCAGAACGATCACATTATCAACATATAATATCCTGTATTTAGAAACAGAGTCAAACTAATAAGTTAACATTTTTGTTTATTTACTGTTTAGTCAGCATATGACATATTTAACATGTTCTGTTAACCATATTTTGTTAGCCAGCATTCATCCATGCACAAAATTACTGAATTTAAAAACTTGTTTTCCTTACAGACTAGCATTTACTTGCATTTTCCGAGGAATTTTTTATTTGCTATTATTGTGGGCCGGTTTGATGAAAATTTGCCCGGGCCAAAAAAATTAGCCAGTCCGCCCCTGAGCATAAGGATATGCCACTGACCTTATTTCACCTCTGTGGTTTGGCAGATGATGCGATCTGACTGTAAAAAGCAGTGATGGTCTTTCTTCAACAATACATATAGGGACAAGAGCACCAGCACACTTTTTGGTAACACGGGCAGATCTTTGAATTCTCTGCAGCGTAGGATCACTTAGTAACATTTTACATTGTTTTTCAAGAGAATCTCTAGCTCCATTTTCAAAGAAACATTGTATCTTGTGATCTACTGATGAAGATGTGCTTAGTCCTCTGATTATAGCAGTTCTTATCAATGAATTTCTAAGGCTGATTCTAATCAGTAAACAGTGACACATGCCAACAGACCTAAACACAACGGCTTAGACACAACACCTACGAAAAAGCAGACTAAAATTAGAACAAAAGTTTACATTTTCAAACGAGGTCAAAAAACAGTTCAAAGATAGCTTGCCTAAGAGGATATTTGCAAAATACCATAAAAGACAGGCAAAGACTAATTGTTGCTAGATGTTGCTATTTTAGATATATTTGCAGATTACGTATGAAAGGGTGGAAGAGTTGTATCACTTAAGATCAACTTTTTCTGTTTTTTGAGTTTATTGTATTTTTGATGTTGAAAAATACATGTATTAAGTACAACAATGCATAAATATAAGCTAGCAATGCCAATTTTTTTCAGGACAGAACCATATAAAATCGAAATTCCATAGTGCCAGTCCCTGTCACAAGTCTGCAGCCTCATTTTTCAGAAAAAACATCATCGCATGTGCATTGGAAAAACTCTGCATACTGGCACTAAGGACCTCTCGTTACAAAATGTTGTGTATTTCTACCAATGTGCAAAGTATCACATTTTCTCATGCGAGATTGAAATGAAGTAGCTAACAAGTGTTAACTTGAAAACAATCAATGACAGAGAGATTACCCAGCACAAATTGACAAACAGTCCCATTTGCTAATGCCACAGCTCTGGTGAAATCCTATAGCATTGCTAACAAATGCAATCATCATCGCGGAGTAATATTGTCAAGCGCAGTAAACCTTCCATGCTTACAAGATGTTGATAACTAGAAAACAGCCCGTTTGATATCATGATGTCCGATGGCTTAAAATATATGGTCATTTTTTACCTCATCTTATGGTAACTCATTCTATATCTTATGTCTTCCTGAGCAAATGATTGATTTACTTACTTGGTCCTCTCCTAATCCAACTCGGGTTATGTTTAACTTTATCTTTAGGCCACTTTTTTCAACCTCGAGTTTCCCTGTGATTTGTGCTTGCGTCAGCAAACTATGGCAACTTCAGTTGGAGGAGTTGATGTTTTCTTTCTCAAATGCAAGCCAAGAAGCCAAGCTAATACTAGACTTTAGAATATCGCATTATGCAGTTGGGAGCAGACACATTTGATCTAAATAGGTACGGAGATCCTTTACTTTGATAATGTAGCAGGTTTTGCCATTAAAATTACTATTATATGACTTTGTATATATACTTCCACATCGTACATTTTTTTCGAAATCAAATTTTCGTTAAAATTTGTATATGTTTTCCGAGGGTTATCATAATCATTTGTTTCCAATTAATAAACCCGTATGTTCCCATTATTTTCAAACAACATTGCCTGCACTAATTCTATCCTTCCTTAGTGTACCCTGAGTGATGAGCAACATACTTGAATCAAACAAGACTCTGGGTTTTTCTTCTGGTTTCCAGGTACCTGAGCTTTCTGGCCCCTAACCTGTTTTCCGTTTATTGCCCTTTCTGTTGAGGGCTCTGTGCAGTGGGCTGGAACCAGGTAAGCATCTGCCTAGAGTGGCGAGAGGAAACAGTGTTTTCCACTACACCACAGGTACCCCACAGGTATTTTGACTGACACTAAGATTGATTCCTAAGAATTGATTAGATTGATAATAAATAAATATTTCGAAATACATTCTGATCATTAACAATACTTCTGGTGGCAGAAGATATCTCTCTCATCAGCAAGTTACAGAGGACTGCAGGAAAATGTAGCTAAAGCTAGGGCATTAAATTTGATCGAGAATTGGTCTCAAAGAGACTTTAAAAGTTTAAAAGA